AAGTTCTGCTGCATGTTGTTTTAAAAGGTGTTTTTTTTAAAATTCCAGATTTGAAAGATTTCATCTATTCCGCTTTCAACTTCCACCCTGCTCTCTCCTTCCCTGACTTCTTCCCTTCCTCACCATCTGTTTCGGGTGATAGATTGGCCACTATTATCCATTATTAAACGCTCCCGTTTTTTTTTTCTTATTTCCCCACCACAGCTACCTGGACTATACGTCCTTGCACCCTGCTTCCTGTAAAGACTGTGTATTCCATTGTCTCAATTCCTTTTTGTCTCTGTAGCATATGTTCCAATGATACCAACTTCAAGGCAGCCTCTGAAATGTCCACCTTCTTCCTCAACCAAGGATTCCCCAGCACTATATTTTACAGGGCCCTCAACCGGGTCTGACGCATCTCCCACACTTACACCCTCATCCTCTCTCTCTCTCTCCTTTTTTTTTTTTTTCCTTCCTTTCTTTCCTCCCACAACGGTGATGAAGTTCCCTTTTGTCCTTATCATCCCACCAGCATCCACATCCAGATGATCATCAGACACCATTTCCACCACCTCCCAGTGAGATGCCACCACCAGACATATATTCCCCTCTGCTCCCTTGTCCACCTTCTAGAGGGAACAGTCCTTGCAGGATATCCTGGTCCACTCTTCCTTCACTCCCAACAACCCCCATGGCACCTTTCCCTACATTTGCCAAAGGTGTAACTACTGCCCGTTTACCTCCTCCCTCCTCAGTATCCAAGGGCCAAACATACCTTCCAGGTGAAGCAAACTTCACCTGCACTGCCCAGACTCTCTTCTACTGCATTTGCTGCTCACAATGTGGTCTCTTGTACTTTGGGGAAATGAAACGTAGACTAGGTGACCGCCTCACCAGAGCATCTACGTTCGGCTGCAAAAATGACCCGACCTTCCTGCTGCCTATCACTTTAACGCACCACCCTCTTCCCTGGCCTCTGTCTCTGGATTGCTCTAGCATGAGCTGGAAGAATAACACCTCATCTTCCACGAGGGACCCTGTAGCCTTCTGGACTCCGATATTGAATTCCACAGGAAATTTCAAGCCCTAAACCTATATCCTAGCCCCACTCACCAGGCCTTATTATTAATCTGCTATTTCACACAACCCATTGTTGGACACTAACAGTCTTCATTAATAGGTTTATTAATAGGAGCATAGCATACCACCAACTTGTATGAGGCACTTGTTAGACCCTAGGTGCAATAGTGTTTAAAGTTGTGGGCACCACATTACAGGAAAAATGGAATGAATGAGCAGCTTCAGTTGTGAGGATCGAATAGCGAGCTTAGGCTATTATTCCCACTTTCTGTGGCCCATCAGGTTTACTCTGGGTATCAACAACCCAAGCAGTTCTAACAATGGAATATACCCAATGATCTTCATTACACTATAAGAACACCTACAGGAGCAGGAGTAGGCTGCCTCTGTCATTCAGCAAGATCATGGCTGATCTTGTTGTGGACTTAGCTTCACTTACCCGCCTGCTCACCATAACCCTTAATTACTGTTCAAAATGTATACTGGAAAGAAATACTGCAAATTCTTTCCCACACAATGCTTACAATCAAAAGTGAACCTTTTTAAATGGATCTCTGATGATCCGAACAGGTTATGAGCCTGCTCTGTTCTTAACCTCTAGGGACTGATCAAATGACATCTTGTTCCCTAACTAAGCTACTTTTGCTGTAAGAGAAGGGAATTTTTTTTTTATACTGCTTCCATTACAAAGAAGCTACACATTCTCACGTTTGACATGATCCAGGCTCCAGCAAATGTCCAGTTTGTCAAATGGTTAATGTCACAAATGTGTCATGTTTTCCATATAGGTATGATCAATTAATTTATTACATCTTGCTCGTGTCTCCTTGGGAAAAACGCTTGTCTATTGCTTTTAATGAGCTTTAGCATATAACTTTCACGTTACCCCACTGTAAGCTAGTTATACAGCACAACACATGAAAATCACAAATTTAGCTGATAAATAGTCCACATTATCACATCTAATTCACCATCTGTTTTACACAAAGTTTCAGTTTCTCCAGCGTTACTGTGACAGTTCAGAGCATCACTGCTGCGTTACAAGACTTGATGGAAGCATACACACGTTCCCTCAGCAAAGCATACGCACTTTAAAACCAGTGAAATTTCTATTCAATCATTAGGTGGTTACCAGGCTTCATATATTTTCTCCTCCTTATTCCACTCAATTTAATTTCAAATCGGCTGACCCAGCATATTTTAAGTTGAAACAAAAACAGAAGTTGCTGGTAAACCCTGAGGAAGGGTCACCGGACCCGAAACGTTAGCTCTGATTTCTTTTTCACAGATGCTGCCAGATCTGCTGAGCTTTTCCAGCAACTTTGTTTTTGTTTCTGATTCACAGCATACGCAGTTCTTTCGGTTTTTAAATTTTAGGTTAATATCTGCTCTATTTCCTGGAAAGCCTGACTTCAGGCATTCAGTCCCTCTAACTTGGGTAGGGGGCCTAAAGCCTAGTTAGCTGGCCATGTCAGATACCTGAAGATTGACCTAGGCTGATATTCTAGACCAGCACCTCACCCCCTACCGACCCACCTAACCTTCCTGAGTCTAGGCCTGTTACTCAGACGCTTTACAAACTTTGAATCCCAATAGGATTTGCTTTTCGAGTCCCCCATGCCATAGCGCTCTTGTCCACTCCTTGTTGAATACCAGTGGCAGAACGGAAAATCTTTTAAGAGGGTGTTAATTGTCCACATAAGGGTCTCACTTGGCAGTAGAACTGGAAAGTTGTCCACTGGCCTTCCTGCCAAGGTCTTATTTGGTATGTATTTTGAGTGATCAACGTAATAGCTTTATTGAAGTAATCCTTAAGGTGTCTGCCTTGTGGATATGTGCCTCATGCTTTTGAAGTCCCATGACTACAGCAAACTAGGACAGACGTTTGTACATAATTGCATTTCAGTCCAAACATCTTTTATGTAACAAAAAAAAGCCAAAATGCATTATCATGCTCATTTTTAAACAAGTTACTAACTATATACAACATTCTCACACCTCCGTAGTTTATTTCCATGAGTCTCTGCATATGCTTTGAATACATAACCCTTATATTATCCTAATCTCTCAATGGTCAAACCTCTGGGTCTGTTGGATAATATGTGTTCTGTGTAGGTAGTGTTTTTCTCTCTCATCCTGATCAGTTGCCCCAGGGACCCAGGTGTATATGTGCACAGATCTTTGAAGGTAGCAGGACACGTGGAGAGAGCAGTAAATAATAGATGCGGTGTTCTCTGCTTTATTAATCGGGGCATAGAGTAAAAGAGCAAGGAGGTGGCGTTGAACTTGTACAAGACACTTGTTGGACCTCAGCAGGCATATTGTGTACAGTTTTGGGCACCATATTATAGGCAAGATGTGAACGTATTGGAGAGAGTGCAGAAGTGATTTACAAGAATGGTTCCAGGAATGAGAAACTTCAATTATGAAGATAGATTGAACAAACTGAGACTGTTCTCCCTGGACAGAAGGAAGGTGTGAGGTGATTTGATAGAGGTCTTGAAAATCATGAGCCTGCTGGAAAGAGAGAAGCTGTTTTTTTTTAATTCATTCAGGATGAGGGTGCTGCTGGCTAGGCAGTATCTATTGACCAGAGGTCCAGTTAGGAGTCAACCACATTGCTGTGAGCCTGGAGTCACATGTAGGCCAGACCAGGTAAGGATGGCAGTTTCCTTCCTTAAAGGACGTCAGTGAATCAGATGGGTTTTTACGACAACTGACTCACAATCATCATTAGATGATTAATTCCAGATATTTATTGAATTCAAACGCCACCATCCGCCATGGCAAGGTGAACCTAGGTCCCCAGAATGTTATCTGGGTCTTTGGATTAACAGTTCAGTGATAAAACCACTAGGCCATCGCCTCTCCACCCAAGTGTAAAAGGAGCAAGAACAAGAGGGCACAGATATGGAACTGAAGCAAGGGTGAGAAAAACTTTTTTCACTCAGTGAGCAGTTGAGGATATGGAGTGCACTGTCTGGAGTTTTGGTGATGGCAGGTTTATTTGAGGCATTCAGGAGGGCATTGGATGATTATTTGGATAGAAATGCCATGCAGGGACATAGAGAAAAGGCAGGAGATGGGCACTCAGTAATAGAACTGGTACTAGTACAATGGGTTCAATAGCCTCCTTCTACTCTGTATCAATTCTGTGTGAATTGAGACTTTGAAGGAAGGAGGAAGGAGTTAGCTAAGGTAGAATGGGAGCAAAAACTTTATGGTGGGTCAATTGAGGAACAGTGGAAGACTTTCAAAACGATTTTTCACAGTGCTCAGCAGAAGTATATTCCAGTGATAAGGAAGAACTGTAGG